CTATGAACAGTTATATGCCAACAAATTGGACAACCTAGAAGAAATGGACAAATTTCTAGAAACATACAGCCTGCCAAAACTGAATCAAGAAGAAGCAGATAACTTGAAGAGACTGATCACTAGAAATGAAATAGGATCTGTAATTTAAAAAAACTCCATGCAAACAAAAAGTCCAGGACTGGATGGCTTCTCTGGGGGATTATACCAAACATACAAAGAAGAACTTCTACCTATCCTTCTCAAACTACTCCAAAAGATTGAAGAGGGAATGCTTCCAAATTCATTCTATAAAGCCATCATCACCTTGATACCAAAACTGGACAAAGACACTACAAAAAAAGATTATAGGCCAATATCATTGATGAATATAGATGCAAAAATTCTCAACAAAATATTAGCAAACTGAATCCAACAATACATAAAAAGGGTCATACTCCATGGTCAGTTGGATTCGTTCCAGGGTCACAAGGATGGTTCAACATATGCAAATCAATCACTGTGATACATACACCACATTAACAAAAGAAAAGAGAAAAACCACATGATCATCTCAATAGACACAGAAAAAGCATTTGATAAAATTCAACATCCGTTCTTGATAAAAACTCTCACTAAAGTGGGTATAGAGGGAACATATCTCAACATAATAAAAGCCATTTACAACAGACCCACAGCCAACATATCAATAGTATTCAGTGGTGAAAAGCTGAAAGCCTTCTCACTAACCTCAGGAACCAGACAAGGATGCCCACTCCCACCACTTCTATTCAACAAAGTATTGGAAGTCCTAGCCACAGAATTCAGACAAGAAAAAGAAATAAAAGGTATCCAAATTGGAAGGGAAGAGGTAAAATTGTCACTATTTGCAAATGACACGATACTCCATATAAAGAACCATAAAGACTTCACACAAAAACTATCAGAACTAAAAAATAAATTCAGCAAGGTAGCAGAATGCAAGATTAGTATACAGAAAATGTTGCATTTCTTTACACTAACAGTGGAATACCAGAAAGTAAAAAAAAAAAAAAAAATTCCATTTAAAATCATGTCCAAAAAAAAGTACCTAGGAATAAAGTTAACCAAGGAGGTGAAAGACCTATATGCTGAAAACTATAAAACATTGATAAAGGAAATTAAAAATGATTCAAAGAAATGGAAAGATATCCCATGCTCTTGGATTACAAGAATTAATATCGTTAACATGACCATACTACCCAAAGCAATCTACAGATTTAATGCATTCCCTATCAAAATACCCATTTCTTGTTACTTCTGAAGATTCTAGCCCTGTTATTTTGTACAGTGTTCTTCAGTTTGGGTTTGTCTGCTCTTTCCTCATGATTAGATTTGGATTATGCATCTTTGGCAGGAGTATCACAGAACTGTTGGTGTATTCTCCTTGCATTCTGTCAGGTGGAGCAAATGATTTGTCATTATTGATGATGCTTACTTTGAGCAGGTAATTATGGTAGTGTCCACGGGCCTCCTCCCTGTAAAGTTAATCTTTTTTCCTTTAATGAGCCTTTTGTGAGGAGGAACTTTGAGACTATTAAGTATTATATTCCTCTTCAAACTTTCAACTTATTCATATGTTGGATTTCTAGTCAGTGGGTTGTAATCTGTTCTTCCCATTTTTTATTTTGAAGCTGGTCCTGGATTTGACCAGTGGGAATTCTCTCAGCAGTGGTTTCTGTGTCCTTTGGCATGTCTCCATCACACTTAGAGCACCTCCTTATTTTCTTCCCCACACCATGTTCCAGGCTCATCTTGCACTTTCCCTGCTCCAGCCCTAAAGTCAGCCATTTCTTCAAGGTGTCCTGGTTCCTTTTAGTTGAGAATGCTATTTAGAAGCCAGAATCTGGGTACTAGATTTGCTCATTGCTGCTAGGGGATGGCTGTCCCTAGGCCCTCTCAGTGGACAGAGTAGGGAATATGTTTATATGCATAAATACGTATACATGCACACACATTTACATCTATAGATTGAAACCATGAGTTCATACAGTTATCTTCAATTCCATTTCAAAGTACAGGTTTCATTTCAGCTTATTCACTTTCCATATTTCTAACTCCCTTTTCCGACAGTGAAAAACCTGGGTTCCATTATCCTTAATGTATTTATTGTCAACCCTTGAACCACATGGGTTTGAACTATGCAGGTCCACTTATATGCAGATTATTTTTCAATAAATATACAGTTGACCCTTCATTTCTATGTGTTCTGCATCTGTGGAAAAGGAGGGCCGATTATGGGACTTAGCATCCTCAGGTATAGGTTCTGAGGTGGGTTCTGGAGCCAATCCCCCAAGGATCCCAAGGGACAACTGTACTTATTTGATCAAACTCTCTATATGTAACCAGTCTTCTATTATCAACACCACCACCACCACCTTGATCATGTGATTGCCTGTCTCATCCCACTTGGGCTGTGACAACCCATACCAGGTCACTCACACACAGACCCTTGTCCTTACTCTGCTTGCATTCTGACTCCTGACATAGGACAACCCTTTTATACTGAAACCCTCCTCATGCTGGTTGGCCTTTAGTACCCTGCTCTGGGGCTTCATTTTATTAAATCTTGACCCTTGAGGATACATTTTTCGAATATTCTGTATGATGAAATGGGAAGTCTCCATTAAGCTCTTTTGCTGTATACTAAGGTGCAGTGGTTGCCTTGAGGGAAACCACCTGTGCCGATGTTTGAATTGTGAGTTAAACTAGCTGCTTTTTTCATGGAACACAGTTTTGGTTTTGTTTTTGGTTTTTTTTTCCCTTGGAAGAATGAGACAAACTATGGTTCTTTAGGCTTGGGTATTTGGAAAACATTTTCTTGTAAATGAGCCTGTCACTTGAAGAACAACTAAAAGTATTTGTTGCCAATGATAAAATTCAAACTTTTAAGTAAAAATTAGAATTGTGTGAAGCTTATATCTATTATTTTGAGATTTACAGCTTCCCAATAAATAAAAAAATTTCTGGTGAGGTGATATTATTAACGTGATTTTTTGATATCATGTAATGAAATATGTCAACATTTCAAAGATCTGCATAACTCAGTGAACCACTGTTTTTCAGATAACCAGTACATAGTACAAAATTATGCATGGATAAAAAATCATCCAAAGTGCAATGGATTTTAATGTAACGTAGTATGAAAAGTTCACCAGTATGGTTGCATATTCCACATTGGAACTAATCTTTAAGAAACCACCATGTCTCGATTTTTACTGTAGTATCAAAGAATAACACCCAAAATTACCTGAACAGGTTCATAGACTATTCTGCCATTTTACAATTACACATCTGTGAGAGGCTGGATTTTCTTCATATCCTTCAACCAAAATAGCATTGCTACAGATTGAATGCAAAAGCAGATGTGAGAATCCAGTTGTCGTCTGTTATACCAGATATTAAAGAGATTTGCAGAAGATTAAAACAATAATTCATTAATTCTTTTGTTTGGGAAAATTTAATTATTTAATATTATTTGTTAACATTTAATGATTTATTGTCACTTTAAAATAATTAATAAATCTTTAAATTTCTATTTTAATTTCTAATATGGTAAATATCAAAAGATATAACCCACATAAACAAAACCTCTTTTGGGTTCTCAGTGCTTTTTTTTAAACATCTAAAAAGAAGTTAAACCTGTATTCATTTACTAACACTGTTAAGCATTACACTTAACATTCAAGTCCAAGTAATTATAATACAAGCCCAATTTTTTTTTTTTTTTTTCTGTATGTGGGCCTCTCACTGTTGTGGCCTATCCCGTTGCGGAGCACAGGCTCTGGACGCGCAGGCTTAGCGACCATGGCTCACGGGCCCAGCCGCTCCGCAGCATGTGGGATCCTCCCAGACCGGGGCATGAACCTGTGTCCCCTGCATCGGCAGGCGGACTCTCAACCACTGCGCCACCAGGGAAGCCCCCAATTCAAATTTGTTGAACTATTTGTTGGTGCTAAGTTGTACAAAACTGTACTCCTTTTAGTTGACATTTGGTCATCTCAAAGTAGTTGTAATATTAGGTTGGTCAATTTAAATACTGTGGCTTCCTTTTGCATATACACACAGTCTTTACACCCAAATGTAAATGTATACAAAGCAATAAGACATTGTTACATAAAAGAGTAATAGTGCAGTTTAATTCATGATTAAAATTACTTCCCACAATCACATCCACAGTACTCATCCACCATTTAATAGCTCAACCAAAATATTATACAATCACCAATAGGCAAAAATACTAGATTTGTATATTTTGTATTTCAAATATACTTATGCATGTGCAAGCAAGGGATTTACCAATATTTAAGAGTATAAGAGATACTGAGACCAAAAAATTTGAGAACTACTACTCCAGGGTGTGGTTCTTACTTTCAGTATATGGCCTTTGAGAGGCATCAGATAAATGCTTGAGGGTGTTCACTGAGGTCTTTCCATTCAGGTTGAGTTGGCACTCCAGTGTACAACCTCTAGAATCTCTGAGAGTACCCCAGTCACATTGTGGAGAGGCACCTTGTGGATGCATAACGACATTCGGTTACAGATCCAAGGGAGAATCCCTGTATAGATTCCCGGAACTTCTTTGCATGACTTCTTTCTCTGATAAATCTTGAACCACAAATTCCAGTCACCTGAGCAGCCCTGAACTCAAATCCTAATATCCTTTGCCCAGTGACTTGACTAGTGGAAGGGCACATTTTGGTTTAAGAGATCATTTACACAGGAAGATGAGGGACTTGTTAAAGTGATCTTTGTGGAATCCTCCAGAAAACTGTCATATCAGAACATTAATATCACAAGAACTGAAAAATCAAAGCTGAGTTTGTTGTTGGACAGGGGAGAGGCTTGTGCTTAGGAATTCAGTAAGTCTCCTGATTGAGTTCACTTATGGGTATTCTTTTCAATTTGTCTTTATTTCTACTATTATAAAGGGCTTTTTTTCTGGTAAAGGCAATAAAATGTGTGGTTTTCTTGTTTTCTTTCAGAGCTGGAGTCAACATATGAGACCAAAAATACATTTGCAAAAAAGGACATTTTTGAAATAAATTTTCCCCAACAGGAGATAAAGGAAAGAAGTAAAACCCTTGGCTTTGAGGCATTCCTTTTCAAAAATAATTGGAAGTGTAAGAGAAGATTTGAGGGCCTCCAGGGACATCAAGAGGGATACTTCAATCAAATGATAATCAGCTATGAAAAAGTGCCCACTTACAGAAAACATAAATCTCTTACTGCACATCAAAAAATTCATAATCAAGAGAAACCCTACGTTTGTAAGGAATGTGGGAAGGCTTGTAGTCATGGCTCAAAACTTGTTCAGCATGAAAGAATTCATATGGCTGAAAAACATTTTGAATGTAAAGAATGTGGGAAAGACTTTTTAAGTACCTATCAACTCACTGTGCATCAGAGATTTCATACTGGTGAGAAACCTTATGAATGTAAGGAATGTGGGAAGACCTTTAGTTGGGGATCAAGCCTTGTTAAACATGAGAGAATTCATACTGGCGAGAAGCCCTATGAATGTAAAGAATGTGGGAAGGCCTTCAGTCGTGGCTATCACCTTACTCAACATCAGAAAATTCATATTGGTGTGAAATCTTATGAATGTAAAGAATGTGGAAAGGCCTTTTTTTGGGGCTCAAGCCTTGCTAAACATGAGATAATTCATACAGGTGAGAAACCTTATAAATGTAAAGAATGTGGGAAGGCCTTCAGTCGTGGCTATCAGCTTACTCAGCATCATAAAATCCACACTGGTAAGAAACCTTATGTATGTAAAATATGTGGAAAGGCTTTTTGTTGGGGCTATCAACTTACTCGACATCAGTTATTTCATACTGGCAAGAAACCCTATGAATGTAAGGAATGTGGGAAGTCTTTTAATTGTGGCTCAAGTCTGGTTCAACATGAGAGAATCCATACTGGTGAGAAACCCTATGAATGTAAAGAATGTGGAAAGGCCTTTAGTCGTGGCTATCACCTTACTCAACATCAGAAAATCCATACTGGTGAGAAACCTTTTAAATGTAAGGAATGTGGGAAGGCCTTTAGTTGGGGTTCAAGCCTTGTTAAACATGAGAGGGTTCATACTGGTGAGGAATCCTATGAATGTAAAGACTGTGGGAAGGCCTTTGGTAGTGGCTATCAACTTCATGTTCATCAGAGATTTCATACTGGCAAGAAACCTTATCAATGTAAGGAATTTGGAAAGACATTTACTTGTGGCTCAAGCCATGTTCAACATGAAAGAACTAATAATAATGATAAACCCTACAAATATAAAGAATGTGGGGAAGTCTTTATATGGACAGCTTACTCAAATAAGACAGTTATTGTTGGTGAAACTTTATGATTGAAGAGATGTGAAAGAACATATTTTTGTGTGTGTACAGACAACTTACTTAACATGAGGAGAAGTCTTACTCTTGAGAAACCTTATTAATGTAGGGAATGTGCAAAAGCCTTACCTGTGTATGGACAATTCACTTGATACCAGAAAATTCATACTAGTGAGAAATATTTTGAACATGAGGAATATGAAAAGTCCTTTAGACTTCTGTATGATCTTATTGAACATCTATACTGATGTGAAGCCATTTAAATGTAGGGAATGTGTAAAGATCTTTATTTAATTCATGGTGCAAAGTCTCATAAACATTGGAAAAATGCTCATTACTCTTTAAGGGAAGGATCTAAATTTAATTTGGTTCTTGCCCTGCATATCAGAGAATTCATACTGCTGTGAAATCCTGTGAATTTAAGGAATGTGGGAAGACTTGTAGACATGGTAAACATCTTAGAATACATCAGGGAATTCATCCAAATGAGAAGTCCTTTGAATTAGAATTGTAGGAAGGCTTTTAGACAAGTGCTACTCAAACTATTGGCCAGCGACTTTTTGCCAGTCCACAGAATTGTTACCTATCAATCATGAGATAAATGCAGAAAGTGAGAGTAAGTGTCTGGAAGCTTTTATAGCAGTCTGATATTGCTATAACATCATTATATTTTACAAAAGTATCAGTCGATGAATGATTGGAAATTAAAAGCAAAAAGTTTGTCCTTTCCTAGATAATTTGAGAGACAGCATTCACAGTTTTTAAAACATGAGACAAGTCACAATGTGACTTAATTAGAACAAGAAATCCCTTCCTTGTTACCTCCCTGATTAAAGTAGCAGAATATTCATTCCATAGGAAGATTTGGCTAATGTGGGAATCACAATTTCCTTTTGCCCATAAGAGCATAGAGAATTTATACCAGATATGTTGATTTAGTGAATGTATAGAAGCTTTCCAACACTATTCAGTCTTTGTTAAACTTCAGCAAACTCTTCCTAGAGAATAACCCTGTTAATATCACAAATGTAGGAAACACCTTATCCATGGCAGAAACCATACTTTTTAAAATTTTTCAGTACACGGGCCTCTCACTGTCGCGCCCCCATCCCCACCCCCACCCCGTCGCGGAGCACAGGCTCCGGATGCGCAGGCTCAGCGGCCATGGTTCACGGACCTAGCCGCTCTGCGGCATGTGGGATCTTCCCGGACCGGGGCATGAACCCGTGTCGCCTGCATCGGCAGGCGGACTCTCAACCACTGCGCCACCAGGGAAGCGCAACCATACTTATTTTTATCACCATTCTACCTCCTTATTACTTGTGGGATGTTGGGCAAACTGCTTATCCCCTCTGGGCATCATGTTTAATATGCTGGTGATGGTAGCTCTGTAATAGTGCTGTTGTAGAGATTGGATTGATGTAGTATGGGTCAAATCCTTGGAAGAGTATCTAGTATGTAGCCTGTGCTCAATACATACTATTCTTATTATCATCATCATAAATATTACTACTGGCGAAGTCTTAGGAGAGGAATGCCCATTTCGTATAATTAAGAAAAGTACCCATAACCACTCATCCATTTGAATTTCAGATAGTGCATTCTGGATAAAAGACCTAATAAAATGTAAAGAATTTGAGAGAATTTTTATTCATAATTTATTCCTTAAGCTGCATCAAAAATTAAGACTAAAAAGAAACATTTTGGATTTAGTAAGTGTTAAGATGTTGGGATTATACCTGGAGAAGAATCAGAGAGAAATGTGAAGCAATTTGCTGTAATGAATCCCAACAGACAAGTAGTAATTAAAATTCTCCACTCACTTTTCAAGGTAAATTAGAAATTAAAGAGAACAAAAAGAAAACTGTCCATTTTGGAATTCTTTACCAAAAGTTTATTATGATCATTTTTTAGACATTCAGAAAAATGTAAAGGACAGTATAATGAACATCCATCTACTCTCTACATGGAATCAAGAATTCTAAACATTTGGCCATTTTTGCTTTCTGAATATCTATTCACACATGGCATTTGGTTGTCATGTCTCTAGATTTTAGTCTTGAACAGACTTTTTGAAGATTTCAGGAAAGCTATTTTATAGAATGCCATACATTCTAGATTTTTTTTGTTCTCTCATAGTGAAATTTAATTTGTACCTCTATCCTTCATATCTCTCATAAAATCAATTTAGAGTTACAGGATTAAACATTTTCCACCAGAACAATTCATAGGAGGTGACATGTAATTTTACTGAAAGACATCATAAGCAATTAATATCCATTTTCCCCACTATCACCAATGCTACGTTTGATCATTAAGATGGTGATTGCTGGACTTCCCTAGTGGCGCAGTGGTTAAGAATCTGCCTGCCAATGCAGGGGACATGGGTTCGATCCCTGGTCCAGGAAGATCCCACATGCCACAGAGCAACTAAGCCCATGCACCATAACTACTGAGCCTGTGCTCTAGAGCCCGCAAGCCACAACTACTGAGCCCATGCGCTGCAACTACTGAAGTCCATGTGCCTAGAGCCCGTGCTTCGCAACAAGAGAAACCATCGCAATGAGAAGCCTGCACACTGCAACGAAGAGTAGCCCTTGTTCACTGCAACTAAAGAAAGCCTGCATGCAGCAACGAAGACCCAACGCAGCCAAAAATAAAATAAAATAAATAATAATTTTTAGAAAAAGATGGTGACTGCTAGAGTTCTCCATTATAAAGATCCATTATACAACTAGTAGGATTAGTGAACCTTGGTCAGCTACTTTTGGGAATGTATAATCATATGTATGTATAAGTTCTGAATCAAAGAGAAAATTGAAACAATTAGAGATTTTGCAGAAAACAATGATAATGAAATGATTGTATATTGGAGCTTGTAGGATGTCCCTGAAGCTCTACTCAGTGGAAAAGTAATACCATTGTTAATATGTCCTGGAGGAACCAAGATGCATCTGGCCCAGATGGAGGGCCAGAACTACACCTTGTTTCCCCCAGTATCTACATGGTTCCTGTCACACTGAACTAAGAAGCTAGAAAAATAACAAATCCTAAACCAAAATACAGAAGCAATCAATATAGCTAAAATTTGAGATTAATGATTAGGAATTAAAGCAGTAGTCCTTGATCATTATTCCTCTGTGAAAAGTCCACTAACCTCAACTAGACTTTGATAAATCTGAACAAAGAAAAATCAAGAAAATTGGCAACATTGTAGAATCATGAATAAGAAAGGAGATATAATTATAGATATGGAGTTTTTTTTTAATTTAAGGCAGTACAATATATTTAAACCTATTTGGACGAATAAACAAAGGAAAAGGCTGAAAAAATTGGTCCAGGATCTCCTTTTTAGAAACAACACTTGGAAATTGTCATCTCCTTAGGTAAAAATTTCAAGACGAAAATAGCTAAAAATTTTACTAACTCATCTTACCTGGATAACATAAATCCAGTAACAAAACTAAATGGAGATACCCTCTAAAAAGCAAAAGCTAGATTAACTGAATTTAGGTAAATGTAAAAACTCTAATTAAAATATCAGCAAGCAGAATCCAAATGTAAGATGTAAGATTGTGCAATAGAAAATATATGGGATATCCAGACCCAAAATTTTCTGGTTTAAATGGAAATAGCTAACTGACAAAAAAATGGAATCAGCACAACTGTAATTCATTCTGATAGTTTCATAGACCTGTATGACTTAGAGCAGGAAATCACACACAGCGACTTAATTATAAGATGAATTTTAATATTTGGAAATCAGAATGCATCTCAAAGTTGGTGGCTTCTCACATTCACTTTCATCTGGGTGGTTGTCATGATTTAGTGCTAGCATCAAAGCATATTAGTTATAATGAAATAGAATTCAACCCTTTAAAAATTACTTATTTCCAAATATCAGTTACATCAAAACTGCATTGACAAATGTCTGTGGTTCATCTTGGTCATTGTTTTAATCTGCACCCTACCTCTATGTCCATTTTGTGCAGGTAGGCCATCCGCGATATCACTGTACAGTCGTTTACTGGCTAGTGGTTGACAGCATTATTCCACGTAATTGCAATTTTAATCATCCAGTGTAACACAAAGCAGAATACTTTTGAGTGTTTTAATAGAGTAAAGCGTTACCAGTCAGTATTTTACTCCTCCTGGGTGCCATATTTGCATGTTAACTAGGAGATGTGGAGATCGTGCCTCGTCCCACCAAGCATTTCTGAAATTGTCTCAAAGATCACCAGTACTTAAAAATACTTGAAAAACAAGGGGAATTCTCTGGTTAAAGAAGCTTATGAAGCAGCATCTTCTAAATCCCCCTTAGGGAATGACCAAAAGCACCTTATCAGCTTATCAAAAGACAAAAGAGTAGTGAAGAAAATTGTTCAACTTTGTTTAAATTGGTATATCTCAAACTGTACTATGGAAATACCAATTCTCATGACTTATTAACATCTTAGGGATGTGAAACTGCATTGGGAAATGCTGCCATAACTAAAAGAGAGTTTGCAAAGTTGGAAATTTCAGTCACCAAGTCTGATTGTTAGCTGACAGCATCATGCTCTCAAACAGTTGCCTTCTAACGTTTTCTCTTATTTGTGAGTAAAAATCTTTTTGTACCTAAGTAGGCATGGCTCCTGAGTTTTATCAAATGCCATTTCATTATCCCTTTCTGCAGTGGTGTAGTATTTAATATGTTAATGTGATAATTTATACTGACAGACCTTTTGACTTCTTCCCATCCCTGGATATTCCCAGGTTAGCCACTGATGTGTGTGTGTGTGTGTGTGCGCGCACGTGTCTGTTTTATATGCACTGCTTGATTTCATTTGCTACTATTTTATTTAGAATTTTTACATCTCATGAGTGAGACTGATAATTGTCTCTTAAAATGTATTTTTGTATGTTTTGTATTGTGATTACCTGTTCTTTAAAATTGCAGGACTGTATTGGGTTGTTTTGTTTTGAATTGGAAACCCTTAATCGCTCTTCTAGTTTCATCTGTTGATTTGCTTGTTTTCAAATTTCTACTTAGGACACAACAATTTCTCTTGAGTGCCCAGCACAGTTCCTCTAAGGAACCTTCATAGCCGAGATCCACATAAAAGCAGCATTCCAACACTGCCTCTCATTGAAAATCCTTCATTATATGTTCTTGGGTATGCTGTGTTGGGAAGTCAGAGCTCCTTATAGGACTGTTATGACCAAACTTGTCCATGTCTATCAGAGCATACATGTACACATTTCTTTCTCTATATACTGGAATGAAATTGCTTCGGTTTGGTTATGAGTATGCCTGTGTTCAGCTTTAGTAAGTTTAGTTCTCCTAAATAGATTTCCAAACAGATATACCAACTGGCACTCCCACCAGCAGTGTGTGTTTGTATCCTTGACAATACTTGGCATCGTCAGTTTAAGATATATATTTTTTTTCTGCTACCCTGGTAGGTATATAGTGGCATCTGATTGTGACGATTGTGGTTCACATTTCCAGTTTTCTTATTGTTTATTGGCTATTTGAATATTTTTGCAATATCTCTTCGCTCCTTGCTCATACATCATTGGATGCATTAGGTTTGTCTAGTTTCACAAAGTATCTGTACAATTTGTAGGACAGCATTTAACACCTAGGCCTTTCTGTGTGTGTGTTCATCCGCCACCAGACAGCTGGTTGATGGCTGTGATGGAATCAGCTTTGTCTCTGCATCTCCAGCTCTGAGTATGAACCATGTCCTTTAGTTGTTTGTTACAGTTAGGATATACTCATCAGAAATTAAAATACCAACCTGGCTGAAGCAATGAGAAAGTATGTTGAGTCATATAACAGGCTTTAAAAGGGAGAACCAGCTCCAGAGATTTTTGATTCATTAGCAAAATGAAATATTCAGAGACTCAGATTCTCTTTCGTTTTCCACTTTGTATTCCCCAGTGTTGGCTGCTACCATGATGGCTGACAGGTTTTTGGACATTCTACACAGCCATGACAACATCCAGAGGTAAAAATAGGAGAGATCATTTTCTGTTCTCTCTCTTAGGAGCAAGGAAACATTTCCCATTAGCCAACAGTGTACGTCTGCTCTTAATTGCTAAAATGGGTCATGGGTAGGTTCAGACATAATCACTAATGTTACTTTAAATTGGTCACAAACT